AGCAGCCAGATTTTTATGGAATTCCTTTAAACAAAAGTTAGCGTGTTTTTTTTTTTGTTTTATTTAATAAATGCACATTTTTGGAATCGAAAAAGTTCGAATATTTTATTATATTGAGTTTTTTATCATGAGACCTTTAATAGCAGCCCCAGAATTTGAGCAAATTAGGGAAATCGTCTGGCTGGGGTATAAAATAATTAGTCTACAATTTAATTATTTCATAGATTACTTAGTGTTGGTATTATTTTTTGTTTTGATACAAGTATTAGTATTAGTTTTGGTACCGGTTTTGCTATTGATTTTAGTATTGGTTTGGTATTGGTATTGGTATTACTATTGTAATTGATGTTGATGTTGTTAATGGCCCTGGTAATGGCATTTGTATTGATATTGGTCCATATTTGTATTGGTATTGGTATTTGTACTGGTATAGGTAATGACGTTGGTATTATTATTTGTATTTGTTCTGGTATTATGAGTACTGATATTCCTATCGCCATCGGTACTGGTAATGGTATTGATACTGGCATAGTTAATGCGTTATATTTAATTACTCACAAGTGTAAGTCTGCGGCTAATTTCCAACACTTTAAATTTGCTTAATGATATTTATTGTTTTTCAACATGTAATTCAAGCAAATACAAATGTGACCGCATTTAGCAGCTCATTTTCACTTAGCTAATAGATAAACTTATTTACTAACAAAGGTGTACATACCTAGTATATTTGTGTTAGTATGTTTTTTATCTGATTTCCTGTAATTGATAGTCATAAATTGTCAGGCATTTCACTTTCATTGTACTGCAGCAAATGCAAGCAAAACACCGCAGTATCACAGTAGATCCATATTTATTGACTCTTGGGAGCTAACAGATATCTACCTGGTGGTGAGGTAGCACATAATTACAAATCCATTTACATATATATCATGAATCGTTGTAGGCTAATCTGAAACGCACAAATATGGGTGGAAGATATTGGTTTACAATCATACATATGTATGCATATTTCTGTGTACTATTATGCGTACTTGCCTAGTTAACGTGAGTACTAACATTACAGCTATTAAACCACTTTTGCGGTTAACTTGCTGCAATCGACTAACCAATAAAAAAATACGAGTATGAGTATTTGTAACTCACATTCTTTCGAACTAAATATGAAACTGCGTGAGATATGTCAGAGCAATGTAACGTGCTGGGGTGCCAAGTTGCAGTGAGGTGCCAATGAGGAGCCAAGATAGTACGCAAGATAGCGTTTGGATACAAACATATATCTACATATCCACACATAAGTGGGTATGTAAGATACCCGTACATATTTGCCAAGTACTTGACTCATAGTGCCACAATGAACGCTGTGGCAAACAAACGCATTTGGATAGGCTGCTTGAGTGTGAGTAGAGTTCATGTACTGGCAAGTGTTTATTCTACCACACATCTTTGTATGCAATCGTATCTCATGTGGTAATTTCTCAGGCAAACGTACATATGTACATACATACATATTAATTTAACTTTTTCGTTATCAGTTTCCATCACTGGGCCGCGTTAAATCTTTTTTATGGCACTTCATTTGTTGCCATTTACTTTTAACTATTTCAAATGCTGATATGCCTGTAACCACGTACATATGTATGTATGTATGTGAGTAAAAGTAGGTGAATTGTGGCACACATCTCAAGCTGTACATATGTATTTACCTTAGCCACCATAAGCTCATATTCACCCAAACCTATTTCTCATATGCTCGGCGCGGCTGTGGTTTACAAAGCCATACTGTTGTTGTTGCCTCAAATTTTCCAGCAATAAGTTACTCCTTGCATTTATATAAGCGAGCAAACTATTTAAAAACAAGTAAGAGCAGCGCTGTCTTCGGCTATGCCGAAGGCTTCATACCTTTCATGAACATCTGCAAATTTTACTTTGACAGATTACTGCTTTTGAATACATCTGCATACATCGATAGAGGAGTTACATACTTATATAAAAAATCGCATCTAAACAATCAGAGGTATGGAAGATATACTTTATATGGCACCAATCTAAGTGATTTTCACTGCTATGTGATCGGTATGTAAACCGGTAACACAATTTATTGGGTTTAGTTTCCTACATAAAGGAGATATATCGCAAAAACTGGTATCTGAACAATCAGTGGTATAGGAGATAAAGCTTATACAGCATAGATTTTGACGATTTTCTCAGTAGACTTTGTATTATTATTTATAAAATATCTTACGAAATTTATCGGTTTTAGCTGTTCAAATAAAGGAGTTTTACAGTAAAATCCCATATCTGAACAATCAGATGTATGAAAGATACATATATGTTATAGTCACCCGATCCTTGTTATTTTCACTGTAAGTATTCCGTTGATAATGAGCAAAAATGGTGCGAAATTTCATGTTCCTAGCTGCATAAATGGAGGAGTTATGATAAAAGACCTCATATCTGAACAATCAGTTGTATGGGGGCTACAGGTTATAGTGACCCGATCTTTGTTATTTTCACTGTAAGTCTTCTGTTGATAATGAGTGAAAACAGCGCGAAATTTCATGGTCCTAGCTACATAAATGGATGAATTATAACGAAAAATCTCATATCTGATCAATCAGTTGTATGGGAGCTATAGGTTATAGTTACCCGATCTTTTTAATTTTCACTGTAAGTTTTCTGTTAATAATTATTGAAAACAGTGCGGAATTTCATGTTCCTAGCTATATAAATGGAGGAGTTATAACGAAAAATTTTATATCTGAACAATCAGTTGTATGGGAGCTATAGGTTATAGTAACCCGATCTTTGTAATTTTCACTGTAAGTATTCTGTTGATAATGGGTGCAAATACTGCAAAATCTCATGTTCGTAGCTGCATAAATGAAGAAGTTATAACGAAAAATCTCATATCTGAACAATCAGTTGTATGGGAGCTATATGTTATAGTGGTCCGATTCTTCCGGTTCCGACAAATGATTAATACATTATAAAAATACACCCACCTACCAAATTTGATCCGGATATCTCGAAAACTGAGAGACTAGATTGCATACAAACAGACGGACAGACGGACAGACGGACATGGCTAAATCAACTCAGCTCGACGTTCTGATCATATAAGTATACATTTTAATGGGTCTATCTCTTTTTGTTCTGGTACTTACAAACATCGGACCAAAGTTATAATACCATTTCATGCTCATGAAAGGTATAATTAGAATTTTTTCGCAGATCGAAATATAAAGGCGCTGGCAAGGATAAATTTAAGTGTAGCATACTTTCAGGGCGCACAGTTATGCCTAAAAGACTACTGAGAGCGTGAATTTTGTTTACCTCTTCCTAAAGCGGCCTCGTATTCAAAGAAGATTCATATTCTTCTCTTCAAGTTATAAACCCATCAAAGAGCTATCAGTTCAAAAACGCCCTATCTCAACATATTTCATTTTCATTTATTCATGAGATACATAGGGCGTTTTCGTACTGGCTACTGAGATATGAAGGTCGATCACTCAATCAGGTGGTGATATATTTCTCCCATTACTCTCCAGAGATTAGATAGTCTGCTTTACTGCAGTCCTCAATCTCCAGGACAATGAAGTTAGACTGTGCTAAACGTATTTGACGCAGCTCTAGTCTGAGACCTCTTTTGGAGAGATCCACATGCCGGACATTCATTGGGCATATCAGGGTCGAATTTGAATAGGTCGAAGTTCAGACGACTGAAGATTCCAGATCGCAACTGAGCTAACTTATTTCCCTCGGCTCGTCCTAGATCGTATTCGGACCTACTGCGAAGCGATCAAGCTGTACAACATACTATGTATATCTGCCTCAGGATCTTCGGGCTGCACTAGCATAATTAGCCCGATAGACTCTTGCATACCATCAAAGCCTTGGTAGCTCTAGATGTGTTCGAGTCCATGCAATTATTTCTATTTATAAATATGGAGGATACCCTAATGGCGACATTAACTCCAGCTCAATAATTATTTTCCTCTTATTCAGAAGGCCGCCTATTTATTCACCTAAAAATATATTTTAGCACTAAACTGTTCTACTACATTTATTAAAACCTATTTTCTCCCATTTTATTTCCAGGAGTCCGGCCAAGCAATCACCTCACGTGTTTTCGAGGGCTGCGGTCGTCCAACGCTGGGTCGCACGCGTCGCTCAATGAATCCTAAGTTCACACAACGCACATCCGCTCCAGTTGCACGGCAACGGCTTTCTTCTGTGAGCCTAAGCAGTTCAGATTCGAAAGTGATACGTAAGCGCGCCACCTTGGAGGTACCAACAGAACAAATCGAATCCGATATTTTAGATATCGATGCCGACGTTGATGATGCAATTGTATTGCGGGAAAGGCGCGCCTCTGAACCTGGCTCAGAGGAGCAGAGCGCTGAAGGTGACAAGTCGAACGGCAGCTCTAATGGCGGCGGCAGCGGCGGTCGTCGCAATCAACAGCGTCGCAAGCCGCAACAGAATCGCAAGAATGATGACGACTACAATGGGCGCGATCCGAATCTCGATAAGCTGGTGCGCGAGATTAGACAGCGCGTAAAAGAATCAAAGAAATTCTGGTCGAATTTGCCGCATCAGATTTGCAGCAATGACGAGACCTCTACATCGTCGGACGTGGATGGCATGTGCTGGAATGGACACACAATCGACAGGTGAGTCTTGCGCGTATATTTACACTATTAAAATTCGTATTAATACTTGCTTTTCCGCTACTCCTTAGGTACATGCACCCCGTAACCACCGAACAGACCCGCAATCCTGAATTCCCTGGCAATCCGGCGTCAACACGTCAGATCTCGCAAGTTGCGACACAACTCTTCTACCTGAAGAATGTCATTAATCATCTGCGTAATGCCTACAACGGACAAGATGTCGAATGGAGTGATCATGGTAAGCGCGCTACAAAGCATATCCATACTTTTATTCGTCCAGCATACTTACATCTCTTATCTCTTTATTTCAGAAGATGCTATCGATGGCAGCGGCGCTGGTTCAGGCGCTGGCAGCGACGATGAGGATGACGACGAGGGATCTGGCCTTAGCGGCGGTCCGTTTACACCCCCCCACCTTAAACCTACCGATCGTCCTTCGGTGCCAGCGAACAACATCGATGACGAGGATGGAGATGACGTAGAAGAGCGTCGCATTACGGACACTTCACACACAACGCGCCCCAAATATCCTGGTAGTACGAGTGGTGGTGCCGCCGCAGGCGGTGATACGAACTCCATTGAGGAAGAAGAGGAAAATGATGACGACGACGACAATGATTTGGATGCGGACAAGGACAGTGGGAATGCGGGCGCGAAGACGGCGCCTAAGATGACATTGCGCCGTGCGCTGCTGATGTATCTACTGCCGCTGTATATGGCGTGGTTTGGTGGCTGTGTTGCCGATATGCTGTGATTCGTTGTTGTTGCTTGAGGCAAATAAAGGACCTTGGCTGGTTTAGAGGCGTAGGGGATGTGCCGAATTTTTTGAATTTTAAAAATTGTTTAGGTAGTGGTTAAGCGGCAGCCGGTTTCGTATGGCTGATGAGGTTATTGATGATAAGTAGGAAAGTGCATGGCATGCATTTCGTAGCATAATGCAAAGAGCAGTGGCATTGAGTGTGTGGCAAGTTTTTGGGAATTAAATGAGTTTTAACTATACTTTTAGGCGCTTCCTGAGAATATGTAGGTTTTGTGCGTTGCTTAAGCTGGTTTGTTGAACTCTAAGACCGTAAGGCTCAAGATGCGATTTTTCAGCGAATAAACTACTTTTACTAAAAATGTTCACTACTTTTAGGCGCAGCCAATTCTCTAGTTTCCTAAATTTGCCAATTTTTGAAACTGTTTTCTATTCCTCAAGACTTGCTTGATTTACTACATACGCTTAACTCGTTTTTTATAGGTTGAATTTCAAAACTTGAATGTTTATGAAAATTTTCTCTTTAAAGATATGTACGTAAAATTTCTTTGTAGCATACTTTTAGTGCTTCAACCAACTCAAATCTCGAACAAATACCCAGTAACGAAATCTGCTGAATAAAAATCTACTTTTAGGCGCATTTCTATTAAAATATTTTTTACTAATTTATGCACAACAACACAATTGCAAGAACAAACATAGATTTATCCTTAGAAGCGAATAATTTAAAAAATGAACTTTAAGCGAAACAAATCATTTATATACGTAAACAATATAGCAGTTATAAAAAATTAGTTAGCTATTAAGCACAAAGTAATACATAATTAAAACAAAATTAATACTTACATAGGTACATATCGTCGTTTAAAGTACAAAACCGCGTATCAACAAAATGCAAAACCGCGTATCAAGATAATGCAAAAGCTCGTATGTGAGGTTGCATAAATTATTGTCTAGATAGTAAAAACACGCATATTTCAAAATGATTCTGTTGTTTTTATAAAGCAATTGCCTTTCTGGGTAGTATATTTCAGGACGAATGGATAAGGATTGAGCCAAGAGCTTGTGTGAGCAAATCCAATTTTTGGCAGCAACTGTCAGTTACGCGGTTTTGCAGAATGAGGATACGCGGTTTTGTACTTTAAACGACGATATGTATGTATGTACCAGCAGTTAATATTATAAAATTATAACAAAAACGACAAACAAATGTGTATGCAAAGCCGCGTGTATAACTTATATCAATGTATGTTTGTATGTGTAGAGCAAGTGATTGTAATTGTGAGTCTGAACTACCGTGCGTGTGTGTGATTCCAACTTTTTTTTTGTAACTCCTTTTGTTTTTTTTTTAATTGTAGAGCAAGCATTTAAATGCATTTTTCTGTATTATATTTAAACTATTATTAAATCGAAAAATAAATGTGGCGAATGTTGAAGAGTGTAAGAGCATTTTAGGCGCAATAACAACCTGTATTTATCATGTAAGCATATTTACTATATAATTATGAAAATTTTCCAATAAAAAATTTGTAATTCGAAACTTTGTCGCATACATACATATGTATATTTTGGGCTTTTAAAATTGCGTATAAAGAAGTGGGTGAGAAAAAAATTAAGTGACAAAAAGCTAAATAAATAAAATATAAAATAAAAAAATTAGATTCTGTAATCTAAGAATTACGGCACTTTAGGGAAGTCTTAGAATATGAAGAAGTAATTAGCTGATTCCCGTAACCTAATAACTTCAAAACTCTGTATTCGAAAATTAGGGTTTTCAAACATTTTCGAGACTGTGAAGTTTTCATAACCTTTTTCTTCGGTTTGAAGGAATGCGACTAACAATATTATACTTACATAAATATTCATATACATACTTGTATTAAGACTAAATGAAAAAAGCAATTAAGTACATAAATATTTTGAAAAAAAAAGCACGGTGAAGCTTTGTTAAACACTCTTTTTTGTATCCCGATTTTGTTAAAAACGCGTTAAGTAGTGTTAAAAATGCCGAAACATCCACGTACATATGTAAGTATGCATATTAGGGTGGTCCAAACAAAGTAAAGTCGGAATTTTAATGCCGCCACCCCCTAGGATTGTTGTATACCGGAATCAATATAGTCCTATTTTTTATTTTGAAATCAAAAAATATTTAGAGAGTGCTCAAAGCGCTCAAAGTTTTCCATGTATTTTATAATATTTGGGCAATTGGGCAACTTTGCGCAAAGTATTTCATGAGGACAATTTTATATTTAATTTCTGACATTTAATTATTTGACAATACTTAAAACATATTCACATTATCGTAATTTACGGCTCATTTGTAATTTATAAGTAAATAATGCTGAAATCAAGTAATTTCGCTTTGTAAATTCTGTCAATAAATTCAATAGAAATGAGATAATTTATCATAAATCAAGAACCAAATGAAGAAAAAAAAAATGTATTTATTTTAGCCCCCCGTGTTAGGGAAATTTTAAAAAATGCCGAAAGCTATGCAACCATTTGTTTTTTGAATACAAATTCAAACCACACACTCGTACGTACACGTGCTATAGAAATTATGGAAGAAAATGTGAACTTACTTGATTTATGTGAAGTAATTTGATCGAAACAAAGTAACTTATGCTGTAATGTGAATATTTTTTATGAATAAGGCCATTAATTTAAGAAAAAAGAAACAATTGAAACTCAAATAATAATAAATATTTAACTCCTACGAAAAAGCGTTGAGCACAAATTGAAAATGAAAGAAAACAAAATAGTTGATTGAAAGATGCACAGCAAGCTGCAAAAATGCCATATAAATTTTGTCATTTCATTTGCGAGTGTTTAAAATTGCGCTTTTAAATGAGTACGCTTAGAGTTTTCCGATCGAAAAATATTGATTTTCAAGAATTGCATACCATTTCTACGAAAAGTTTTTTTTCCTATATAAAATACATAGAAAATTTTGAGCGCTTTGAGCACTCTAAATATTTTTTTATTTGGAAATAAAAAAAATATGGGCATATTTTTTCGGAATAGAACAATCCTAGGGGCTGGCGGCATTAAAATTCCGACTTTACTTTTTTTTTTGACTACATAAATTGCATATATTACCAAAATTTTACCCATTGTAAATTTATATATGATCATTTTAAATGATGTCCCATGGAATAAGTAATAGTAAATAGTTTAGAAATATCTTTGCAACCTTCAGCTGTCAGACAATAATTATGTCCCCACAGTTCACCGCTAATTCTTTTATCAAATTTTATTTTATTAACAATACATTCTTAAAAAAAAATATTTTTTTTTCGTATTTTGGACAGTCGTTATTACGGTTTTGGTTTCCTAACTTCTATTTGCTTATTTTTATTCAACAAACATAAAATCCATTTCACTCTAAGTATTTTTTTTTTTATTTAAGTACACACCTTACCTGTCGAAGCAACTGCGTATACGTAACTAATATATAAAATTGTTAAAAATTAAAAAAAATTACCGACCAAATTTTAACGTAAATAAAAACACGTAAAATATTAAAAACTAAAAGTTTATTAGGCTTTCCCTATTCAAATGTTCATTTTTGCCTCATGCAAAAAAATAAATTCTCATTGATAGAGCCTACTTTTCAGTGCTCATCCGCGAGACCTGTTCAAAAAATATGTTTTCTTTTGCTGTCTTTCATTCTATAAAATAATTTATGTAAATGTATTTATTATAAAAATATGAATATCAACACGTTAATAACCTATAAGCGGGAATCAGTATTAGTTAAAACACGTAGTTATGACCCCTTTTTAAATTATATAGTTCATAATATGTATAGAACTAAAAAAACAGCCATTAACTCATCTTCTTTAATTTATGAACACATATACATATGTATATGTACATGTATTTAGCATATGAATGTAAAACAGAAACTTTCGAGGAAGAGTAGAAGAGAATGTGATGATTATGAAAATTTAAAAAATAAACAAATAAATGTATACGGAATGCAAAAATGAGTTTTCTTATTACAAACCAAGGCGAATACATATAAGGTGGTATCGATTCAACAAATACAACAATTACTTGTATTTTGTTTTTGCTTTTAGCGGGCCAATGTCAAATTTCAGCTATTCTTCCTCAGATCAAAAAGGGCGACAGAAAATACAAACACTCTCACGTTTTCACTCACTCGCTAACGAAATACAAAATTTTGACAATCAAACGCTACTCACAGCTGATGAAACAACACCACCTTATATAAATTCGCCTTGTTACAAACTGAGGAGTATTAAGCCAAAAATTTAAAACTCTGCTTGAGTTCCAACGCTGCAGGCGACTTTCAAGCATAAAGCAACCCGACTTTAAAAATTGATGTCGGTATGGGACAGAACCAAGGCACATTAAACAGGTAGTATCAGTAGAGCAAAAACAACATTTGCGTGTATTTTGTTGTTGCTTCTGATATCGAAAGTGTCAAAAACTGTTCTGAATTTTTTCTTCTAAATCAAAGCGTGCCATGTGAAATACAAAAAATTATAAAAAATAAAAAATTGAAATTGGAAAAAATAAAAATTGTTGCACCTTTCTTTCCTAGTAAATTTGTTTGCTTCTCGAAGCATTGATCCATCCTTTACAAGGGCCAGTAATCAGCGGTTGTGCTGCTGAGTTGGGCGAACGTTCCAAAAGCTGCTATTCAATCGCTTGTTTTGTATGGAAAAAGGTTTCACATCCAAATGGATTTTAACAATTCAGAATTTTTGTGAGAAAAAATTAAAAATATTTGACATTTTCGAGACCAAATAATTTGAAAATAAATCAAAGCAGCTGCTCTACTGATACTACCTGTTCAATGTACCTTGGACAGAACTATTACTGTGACTGCTAAAGCTAAAATTTTTAACGCAGATATGCGTTAGGCGCAGTTACATATTATTTTTTGCAATATGCATTTATGCCTATTCTGCGTAGGCAATTTTAAGAGCCTGAAGCCGGCTTATCAGCTAATTATTCAAAATAGCTGCACGTAACGTTACAACAGCACAAACATTGAGTTTTCAGTTTATCTAAAAGCAGATCTGTAAGTATTTGCTTTTCACTTACTTACGTGGAGCTTTACGAGAGAATCTACTAGAAATTGAAGTAACATAGACATTTTTTAAGGAAAAAAGCATTATTTTGTTATTAAAAAATATGTATGTATGCATATGTATTTATTTGATTTTCTCAAGACTAATACAAAATATCAAGATATAACATAATTCAATAGTCGTTTGTACGTGCATGCTAAATAAATAACATTTTAAATTCATCCACGTACATTTGTGTATATAAAATTACTAAAAAATAGGAAGTGAAAAAGGGCGTTACAGAGCCGCCAGCCTATTAGTTATGTATTTGCACAGCAGTTTTTTCACATACATATGTATATACGCATACATAGTATTTCTAGAACAGTAGACATTCAACAAGTTGTGGTATGGATATTTGAGCATATAATTTACTGAATTAAAAAATATATAATTTGTATGCTCCTACATTTAATAAAAAAAAAGTACTAAATTTGTGTAAAAGGAAACTTAAGGTGCTCCAGCCACATATTAATTGCTAAAAAATTAGCATTTTCAAACCAAAACTAGAAATTTGCTGCTCTAAATTCTAAAAATTCAACACCTGTAAAAACCGGATGTGTCTAAAATTGGTACCGCAATTATGTTGCTGCAACAAGTAGTTTTCAAAATTTACATTTTTGGTGTTGGTAGCCAGAACGCTTGAAGGCTAGTTTAATTTACGCCATAGAAGGCTGCCACTGGCACTAACATATGTATACACATACGGTTGTGATGCAATTTATTTACATTTCGACGGCTGGACGCGTTTTGATGTACACAAAGACAATGATGAGCAACGCAAATACGCAAACTGCGGGCAGGACTACCGTCTTAAGCTGATTTTGTATGGCCATATTCTCCATTTTGCGCTCCTTCTTCTGTTTGCGTGTCTCCTTCACTTTACCGCGTAGCTGTCGCATTTCGCTGGCAAATGGGGGCTTGTGAATGGTTTAACGAGGATTCTGCGAGAATAAATATATTATATTGTAGTCAATTAGTATCGTTATACAGCTTTTTCATAAACTTACTAGTAAAATAGGTGGACAATGTAGGAAAAAATAATGAAAATAAATGAACTATCGGTGGACTGCTTGCTCCAACCACTTGTCGTACGTGTTTGACGTTTGACAACGTCAACAAAATTTTGGCTACAGCGAAAGTTGGGGCCGCACAATGTTGCCTCGCGTGAAGAATTTGCCCTTACCGGCTGACGGGAATAATTAGTTGAAAAATTTGATGACATTCAATGCACGTTTAATAAAATGTAAAAAAAATCCTGAATAACATTTTTTTTTAGTATTATTAAACATTTTCATCGAAGAAACTGAACGCAAAACGTATGCTGCTACAAGGGCAACCCAAAACGCCAATAAGGCGTTTTGATGGACTTAATGTTTTATGGAAATTAAAAACAACAAAAATATTATTAACTACTATTTGGTCAATTTTAGTAAAAATAATTTACTACTGTTCAAATTTAACTACTACACTATTCTACAGGTGAATTTACTTCGCTTATTTCGTATTGTCCATGAAATCTTTTGCTTCGTTTATCTTGGCAGCCAAGTAAGGAGAACCCCCACGATCGGGATGATTGAGCAACATGATCTTCTTGTGTGCATCTTTTATCTGTTAAGAATAATATCATCAAGCAGGTATAAAAGTTGATGATAAGTCGTATGTTAACTTACCTTCAATTTGGACGCACTAGGACTTACGCCCAAAATCAGAGAAGCCTCACGCTTATTCATTTTTGGATCGAAGCCTCCTTTGTAGTATTTCGAGTTCGCCAAGGTTTCTGCGTCAAATTTGGGTAGATTTTTCATAGTTTCGCTTAATTTTGTGGCCATAGCAGGCATGCGGCGCATGAGATGCTTCCCCGCAAAACCAACTGCAGCTAGACCTATGCCAGCAACTATTATCGAGCTTGCCTGCAACAGGAGATGGTTTTTAAGGATGCATTTAGGACTACGGCAATATATACGGTCTACTTACCATTTTATGTAATGTGTAAAAAAATTTGTTTTCGTATATTCCTGCTAATTTCACAAATTACGAATTTGTTTTTACGATTTTTTTTTCTCATGTGTTCCAGAAACGTCAAAATCAGCTGTACGTGAACTACGGTGAGAGATGCCAAATCACTAGAAAATGGCTTTGTTTCTTTTCTTTTTTAGCAGATAATTATCAGGAAGAAGAGATTAGAAAAATTGAGAGAAAAATGCAGGGTTTTTACTGCATTTAAAATGCAACATTTAGCACGTTCGAACATATTTTTTCGAAGAGCGTTCATGCTATCGCATTTGGTCGGTTTCACACTGGAACATTTCTACCACGAGAACAACTCAGTTTGTTGGCAAGAGAGGCAATGCGGAGAGGTAAACTTTCTCACAAAGTGGTTCCAGCTTCTACCCCGTATTAAGCTTGATATACAGGTCAATGCGAACGTGAGCGTGAACTTTCGCAAAGGCAAATAATTCCATTTGTATTCTTATGGACGCTCACACACATCTGCCAAAACTTGCCGTTCACATGCGAATGCTTTGCGTACGTACACAGTTGAGTGTGAGTTCGAAAAAAGGCATATTATGCATTTTAAATTAGTTTTTATTCTATAATTCTGAAAGATATTTTAATTCTCTATCTTTTCATGTCTCAACTATAGCAAAAAGTTGAGTAATAACGAAGATATTGGTCAAAATAAAAAACTCACGCTAGCGCTCGCATTGAACTGTACATATATCAGGCTTTAAAATGGCAGTTCTGCTGCAGCGCACCAACACATGTACAACTACGAAAATGTCGCTACGCAACTTCCAAGCGCAAAAGTTACAAATACATTCAAACGTCAAAAGCTGTTGTTCTGCCAGTTTTTCATCCAGTGTCAAAACGTGAGAACAATTATTCGGTCATTCTAGTGTGAAACAGCCCTGTAGCAAATGTACATTTACGCGAGTTCGAAATCGTATGCTTTTGACAAACAGCCGTGTTCCAGTCGCTTATCCAGATCCGTATCAATCACGATCAATTCGCACAGAGAAGGTAATGTGCGAAAACCCCTACTGAAAAGGGAAAACTAAATTTTAAGCAAAAAATTCAATAAAATGACTTGAATTGTTGTAACCATAACCGAAAATTTTTGTGTGTATAATTTCATTTGACGGTGCTGTCAATTGAAATTTCCTCAATTAAATAGAAAAAAAAAGACAAACTGAGTTGATCACAAACTGAGCCAGATGTATATCAGCTTCACATCGATGTTGGATTTGCTTAACATTTCTTTATCCAAATAATGTAAAATAATGTTACGATTATCCTTGAACCCTCGTCCGGATTACCCAAATATGCTC